AACTCTTCAGAACCAAGAGTGGTTAGGATACTAATTTTGTAAATATTAATAACGTAGCTACACAGATTGGAAGTACTACTATTATTCACAGTAAGGTAATTATCTTCTGGGCATAGTTTACATTTGGCTTTTTTTTTACCCGATTCAGTCTCAATAAAAGAGTCAAAATATAGTCATACCAGAGCTGGAACATGCATACTAGTAGTGGATATCATTGCTCGAAATTAGAAAAATATTTAAATGACAGATTGGTGGTTTATTATTTTAAAACAAGTTTAATATCTGCAACAATAATTTAATGCTTTTTTTAAAAAAAAAAAACGATGAAGCTACAATTTTTTAAGTTCTTTTATTTATATGTTTAATTCTTATTAACAATTTTCTTGGTTGATATTTAGTATAGGTGGGAATATATAAATAATAAAAGATTATTTAATATAAAAATAATTATTTGAACTAATTTGAACAGATTTGAGAATAGTTAGGGTTAGGGTGAGAGTCATAGTAAAGTTTTTAGTTAGCTTTGGGTTAGAGTTAGAGTTTTTTTATATTAAATAATCTTATAATATTTATATATTCTCATCTATACTAAATAAGATCCATTTTCTTTATATAACAATGCATAAAACGATTGCATAAAATGATTGCATATAGCTATCAAATTTTTGTAATTTAATATACAAAAAATTAAACTAATATAAAATCTTCTTTTATGCATAAAAGTTAAACAAGCATAATGATCATACAAGTATAATGATCACATAAGCATAACAATCGCATATAAAAATTAGAAAGTAATTAAGCATGCATAATGATCAAGTATAAGATTAAATAATAATCAAGCAGAGTAACAATCATATAAAGATTAAATAGTAATTTAAAACATAAATAACAATCACGTATAAAGATTAAATAGTGATTAAACATAATAATCATGCATAAAGATTAAATAGCAATTAAAAATAATGATTATACAAAATTTGATGCATTAGTTATTTTTAATCGAAAATTTGCTAATATAGATTTTTATTAACATTAAAAAGGAAATATATATATTTTTAAATAAAATTTTTAACCAAATAAGACTTATTATTGTTATCATATAATCTGGTACTATTTTATATCAGTTCTTTTCTAACCTCTACAATATAATTATCCTAATCTATTCTTAATAAAATATTATCGTGCACTAAAGATAATCTAACTATTATTTATATAATGCATAAATGTGTCAAAATATCAATGATATTGACAGATAAATTCACTAATAGTAATAATGATAAAAATATAAATAAAGATATCTAAAAAAATTGATAGTAATCTGTTTACAAAACCAGATCACATTATGCATCACCAAAATAGACCAAGATCAAAAGAGAAGATTCCAAAGGCACTATTAATAAATTCCTGAAAAAAAAAAGATCATTAGTTAAAATATATCATTCAAAGAATTCAAAAAATGATTTAAAAAAAAAAAATTAGACTTCTATAAAAACCCAGAAGAAGAAAAAGAACGAGAGTAATATATTCACAAAAACCAGATTATATTATATATCACCAGAATAGACCAAGAATCAAAAGAAAAAATTTCAAAGGCACCTTTAATAAATACCCGAAAGAAAAAAGAGCATTAGTTAAAATATGTCATTCAAAAAATTCAAAGAATGATTTAAAAAAAAAAAAGTTAGGCTTCTATAAAACCCAGAAAAAGGAAAAGAACAAGAGTAATATGTCCACAAAAAACAGAATATATTATACATTACCAGAATAGACCAAGATCGAAAGAGAAGATTCTAAAGGCACTTTTAATAAATGCCCAAAAGAAAAAAGAGTATTAGTTAAAATATGTTATTTAAAGAATTCAAAAAATAATTTAAAAAAAAAAAAGTTAGACTTCTATGAAAACTCAGAAGAAGGAAAAGAACGAGAGTAATATATCTACAAAAACCAGAATATATTATATGTCACCAGAATAGACCAAGAATCAAAAGAGAAGATTTCAAAGACACCTTTAATAAATGTCCGAAAAAAAAAAAGTATTAGTTAAAATATGTTATTCAAAGAATTCAAAGAATGATTTTAAAAAAAAAAAAGTTAGACTTCCATGAAAACCTGGAAGAAGAAAAAAAATGAGAGTAATATGTCTACAAAAACCAGATCACATTATGTGTCACCAAAATAGACCAAGAATCGAAAGAGAAGATTCTAAAAGTGTCTTTAATAAATGCTAAGAAGAGAAAAGAGTATTAGTTAAAATATATCATTTAAAGAATTCAAGAATGATTTAAAAAAAAAAAAGTCAGACTTCCATGAAAACCTGGAAGAAAGAAAAGAATGAAAGTAATATATCTACAAAAACCAAAACACATTATGTGTCATCAGAATAGACCAAAATCAAAAGAGAAGATTCCAAAAGCACCTTTAATAAATGGCCAAAAGAAAAAAAAGTATTAGTTAAAATATGTTATTTAAAGAATTCAAAGAATGATTTTAAAAAAAAAATTAGACTTCCATAAAAACCCAGAAGAAGAAAAAGAACAAGAATAATATATTCACAAAAACCAGATCACATTATGTGTCACCAGAATAAACCAAGAATCGAAAGAGAAAATTCCAAAGGTGTCTTTAATAAATGATAAGAAGAGAAAAGAGCATTAGTTAAAATATGTTATTCAAAGAATTCAAGAATGATTTAAAAAAAAAAAGTCAGACTTCCATAAAAACCTGGAAGAAGGAAAAGAATGAAAGTAATATGTCTACAAAAACCAGAACACATTATGCATTACCAGAATAGACCAAAATCAAAAGAGAAGATTCCAAAAGCACCTTTAATAAATGGCCGAAAGAAAAAAAAGCATTAGTTAAAATATGTCATTCAAAGAATTCAAAGAATGATTTAAAAAAAAAAAATTAGACTTCTATAAAAACCCAGAAGAAGAAAAAGAACAAGAGTAATATGTTCACAAAAAACCAGATTACATTATATGTTACTAGAATAGACCAAGAATCGAAAGAGAGTTTCCAAAGGCACTTTTAATAAATGCCTGAAAGAAAAAAGAGCATTAGTTAAAATATGTCATTTAAAGAATTCAAGAATGATTTAAAAAAAACAAAATTAAACTTCCATGAAACCTAAAAGAAGGAAAAGAACAAGAGTAATATGTCTACAAAAAACCAAAACACATTATGCGTTACCAGAATAGACCAAAATCAAAAGAGAAGATTCCAAAGGCACTTTTAATAAATACCTGAAAGAAAAAAGAGTATTAGTTAAAATATGTTATTCAAAGAATTCAAAGAATGATTTAAAAAAAAAAGTAGACTTCTATAAAAACCCGGAAGAAGGAAAAGAACGAAAGTAATATGTCTACAAAAACCAGATCACATTACATGTCACCAGAATAGACCAAGAATTGAAAGAGAAGATTCTAAAGGTGTCTTTAATAAATGCTAAGAAGAGAAAAGAGCATTAGTTAAAATATATTATTCAAAGAATTCAAGAATGATTTAAAAAAAAAAAGTTAGACTTCTATAAAAACCTGGAAGAAGGAAAAGAACGAGAGTAATATGTTCACAAAAACCAGAACACATTATGCGTCACCAGAATAAACCAAGATCGAAAAAGAAGATTCCAAAAGCACCTTTAATAAATACCCAAAAGAAAAAAAAACATTAGTTAAAATATGTCATTCAAAGAATTCAAAAAATGATTTAAAAAAAAAAATTAGACTCTATGAAAACCCAGAAGAAGGAAAAGAACGAGAGTAATATGTCCACAAAAACAGATTACATTACACATCACCAGAATAGACCAAGAATCAAAAGAAAAATTCCAAAGGCATCTTTAATAAATGCCCAAAAAAAAAAAAGTATTAGTTAAAATATGTTATTCAAAGAATGATTTTAAAAAAAAAGTTAGACTTCTATGAAAACCCAGAAGAAGGAAAAGAACGAAAATAATATATCTACAAAAACCAGATCACATTATGTATTACCAGAATAGACCAAGAATCGAAAGAGAAGATTCCAAAGATGTTTTAATAAATGCTAAGAAGAGAAAAGAGCATTAGTTAAAATATATCATTCAAAGAATTCAAAGAATGATTTAAAAAAAAAGTTAGACTTTTATGAAAACCTGGAAGAAGAAAAAAAATGAGAGTAATATGTTCACAAAAACCAGATCACATTATGCGTCACCAGAATAGACCAAGATTGAAAAGGAAAATTTCAAAAGCATCTTTAATAAATGCCTGAAAGAAAAAAGAGCATTAGTTAAAATATATTATTCAAAGAATTCAAAGATTGATTTAAAAAAAAAAAAAAGGTAGACTTCCATAAAAACCTGGAAGAAGGAAAAGAACAAGAGTAATACATACGTCCACAAAAACCAGATTACATTATGTATTACTAGAATAGACCAAGAATCGAAAAAGAAGATTCCAAAGGTGTCTTTAATAAATGCTAAGAAGAAAAAAGAGCATTAGTTAAAATATGTTATTCAAAGAATTCAAAAATAATTTAAAAAAAAAGTTAAACTTCTATGAAAACCTGGAAGAAGGAAAAGAATAAGAGTAATATGTTCACAAAAACCAGAACACATTATGTGTTACTAGAATAAACCAAGATCGAAAGAGAAGATTCCAAAGGCACCTTTAATAAATGCCTGAAAGAAAAAAGAGCATTAGTTAAAATATATTATTCAAAGAATTCAAAAATGATTTAAAAAAAAAAATTAGACTTCTATGAAAACCCAGAAGAAGGAAAAGAATGAGAGTAATACATTCACAAAAACAAATTACATTATGCATCACCAAAATAGACCAAGAATTGAAAGAGAGATTCCAAAGGCATCTTTAATAAATGCCTGAAAGAAAAAAGAGCATTAGTTAAAATATGTTATTCAAAGAATAATTTAAAAAAAAAGTTAGACTTTTATGAAAACCCAGAAGAAGGAAAAGAACAAGAGTAATACGTCCACAAAAACCAGATTACATTATGCATCACCAGAATAGACCAAGAATTGAAAGAGAAGATTTCAAAGATGTTTTTAATAAATGCTAAAAAGAGAAAAGAGCATTAGTTAAAATATGTCATTCAAAGAATTCAAAGAATGATTTTTTTAAAAAAAAGTAGACTTCTATAAAAACCTAGAAGGAAAAGAATAAGAGTAATATGTTCACAAAAAACCAGATCATATTATGCATCACCAGAATAAACCAAGATCAGAAGAGAAGATTCCAAAAGCACCTTTAATAAATACCTGAAAGAAAAAAGAGCATTAGTTAAAATATATCATTTAAAGAATTCAAGAATAATTTAAAAAAAAAAAAATTTAAATTTCTATAAAAACCTAGAAAAAGGAAAAGAATAAAAGTAAAAAACCAGAACACATTATGCGTCACCAGAATAGACCAAGATCAAAAAAGAAAATTCCAAAGGCATCTTTAATAAAAAAAAAGAGCATTAGTTATTTAAAGAATTCAAAGAATGATTTAAAAAAAAAAATTAGACTTCTATGAAAACCCAGAAGAAGAAAAAAATAAGAGTAATACATTCACAAAAACCAGAACACATTATGTGTCACCAGAATAGACCAAAATCGAAAGAGAAGATTCCAAAGGCATCTTTAATAAATACCCGAAAGAGAATATAATTAAGAATCTTTTGTTTTTTTTTTTGTTTTTTTTTAAGTGAGGTCTTTTCCTCAGTTTCTTTATTATTCATTATGCAGATATTACATTATAAGTTTACATAAATTTTGAAAGAAGTGGGGAATAAGCTAATTTACTTTAGACCTTAACCTTAGCTAGATAGGTCAAAGACCTTTAGACCAGTGTTGTCCACTAGAACATTCCAGTGAAAATTACTGGAACTGGATAATTACTGGAACTAACTGAAACAAATATAGCATATTTTGGCTTCTAGTGGTTAATTGCCACTGGACTCTTCTAGTGGTGATTTTTACCACTAGAAGGAAGTTCTAGTAAGTTCCAGTGACTTTCGGTTCTCTTTATAAAAATATACCTTGTGCATAATAAACTTAGCATATATACACATCTTATATAAGGTTATATTGCGCAACTTTATATAAGCCAAATTTTTATTGAGAAAAATTTACTTTGTATGAGATTGATGTCACCTTGCGCAAGATGCATAAGATTATAAGTGTAAGAATTTCTATACATAAGCCTGAGTCTTTTAATGCATAATAACTACATAGTAACTATGTAGTTACGTACAATTAAATTTAATAGTAATTATGTAATTACTATGTCGTTCTATGCAGTTACTGCATATTAGGATATTTAGGTTTCTAAAGTTTGCCTAAATTCAAAAGCCCAGATATTAGAGTTTTTTTTTTAATATAATAAAAAATTTTTTATTTATATATGTAATAAACGAGTTGAAATTACATTTTAGATTAGATTTCTGGCAGTTTTTTTTGCATGATAAAAATTTGGTCACGATTAGAATATATGAATATATGGTTTCGCTATAACATTATTTTTTAAAAAAAAAACTTTAGAAAAATAATATGACCCGAAGAGACGATCTACTGTCACAGCATCCATATGAATTATCTTTCTTATCAGCACAGCAATTAACATTTCATTTTACTTTCTATATCCTATAGTAACTGATACATATAGTAATATGAATTGTCACAGATTATCGTGAAATTGGATCATTGTGAAATTTAGATTTATTTTATATACGATTTTTAAAATTTTTTGGGGTCTTTTTTGTAAGCTTTTTTTTTATAGTTAAGTTAGGGTTTAGGGTTAGAATTATTAATAAAAGAGTATAGGTGGATTTTGGTAGGGCTTATATTTTCAAATCAAGACCCCCAAATTTCATGATGATCTGATTTCACGATAATCTGCAATATGAATTATTAATTATATCAACTTTTACTATGCTGATAAGGGAGATAAATCATGTGAATACTGTTAGTAAACTGCCTCTGACCCAAAAATAGTTTCATCATTATGAAAATTACATACAATTTATAAAATTATCATTTGTTCAAACTAACAATTGTATAAAATCCAATTTACCCGAAGCTTGCACAAGATTAAAAAATAATTTTATAATCAACAATATTATTAAATCAGATTAAAAAATCTCAAAATCTAAAGTACGTTATCTTCAAATTGGAATCTTTAGACATAAACTTGTATGTATGTATATATAAATTACTACATAGATCATCAGTCTTGTTACCTTTCATTAAAATAAAAAGTTATGAGATATTATTTATTAATTACTATAAATCCAAATTATGGTAAAAGCAGATGTTTGTCTCACAGAACTAGTCCTGGATCTAATTATTGCAATGATTGGCATCTCTTTTTGGTTTGAAAAAGCACTATCATAAAACACTGTTCCCATGGTTTATATACAAATTACTACAAAAATAGATGCTTGTTTCAAAGAACCGGTTCTAAATCCAATTATTACAATGATTGGCATCGCCTTTTTTAGTAAACACATCCTGAAATGTTTGAAAAAGCACCATTGTAAAACATAGCGCCCATTTTCATGTCCGGTACTAGTACCCCAATTATGTATATTGGCGCAATTCTGATTTTTAAAAGTAATATGTAAGGCCCCAAAAAAAAAAAAAAAAGTAAGTGCATATTTTAATAAAAAAATAAAATCCTTATCTAATGAAAAATAAACTTTCAAGTCTTGCTATACTATGCTTATAGAAAATGCTATAGCATCAATTCTACTGAATTGATAGCTAATATAATATATTGCTCTCCCATTAGTTCTTGGATTATGTACAATAATGTGACCTTCAATAGTGCGCTGTTAAAAAAAAGTATTGGACTATAGTTATAGAAACTCAAATAGGTTAGTCCGTATTGTTATGAGTATTCAGGCACTTTTGATCAAACTTTGATAATTCATTGGACCATATTCTTGAGTAGATGCTCTACCTTTAATGCAAGTCTTGTCACATAATATCATATAACTATTTATTACAATTCTTGTTCAAAGATTCAAAAATTCTATTGTTACTTTAATTATTAAAATTAATTGAGCATTGATATTTCAATTTAAGGAATTTTGCCTGAATACTTATAATGGTACGGACTAACCCAAATCATAAATCTTTAATCATTAAGATATAACCTTTTTGTTTGTAATATATGTAATTCATTTGAAAAATAGAATGGCATGTGAAATCTACAGAGGAAGAGATAATGTTTGGTGAATTAGAGTGCTTGCTTGTATTGTACAATAAAGTATATAATTCAGAGAGGATTTCTACTTCTTTTGCGATTAATCTAATTCTTCATATATTGAATAACAATATTACCCATGTTCTATTTGCTAATAAATAAACTATAAAATTGATAAAAATATAAAAATTAAAAACTATAGTACTTGGCACATTCTAATTAAATTTAATAAAATAGCATAAAAACATACTAGTGGTCCTGAAAAACATAGATTCACAGATGATATTGTCGTAATTGGTACAAAATCCACTAACAAGTACAATACCTACGGCATATGCAAAGCTTGTGATGAAAGTCTTGGCCAGGAAGAAGCTTTAAAGAACCAAATAACTAATAAAAAAAATATTGTTCGAAACCATTTAAAAAAATGTAACTATTTTCTTGCTAAACTTGGGTTTCAAGAGGCGGTAGACGCATATTGTAATGCGACAGATAATGAATCAGAGAAGGCTTCTCAAACTTCAAAAAAGTATCCAAATGCTAATACATCAGGTACTTATAAATATACAAAAAATTGTTAAATATTTTGTTTTTAATATATATATATTTTAAATAGATAATGATAATTGCACAAGTGACTTAACTTCTAGCATTTCCTTAACAACGCCCGTATCTAATAAAAAGCCAAAAAAAAAGGTATCAAATCCTAAATCTATGTCTAACTTCATTGTCAAAGATATTACTATGAAAGATAGACCAAAATTTGAACAATTGTTACTTCGGATGATAATATTGAATGAATGGGCATTTTGTTGGATAACAAATCTGGAAACTTGAGAGCTTTTTGAATTCCTAAACCCATCACTTAGACTTTCTAGTAGGTATGTATTATCACACTGTATCCTTAATGCTAAAAGAATAAATTTTGTAAAATCACGAGAACAAAAATTAAAAGAAGATAGTATTGGAGTTACCTTAGCATTTGACAGGTGAAAAAATATTTTAAATCAAAATATTTTTGGTTCACTTTTAATTTTATCAACCGGGAAGGTTCAAATTTGGGAGACGATTGACATTAGTTCAGAAAGAGAGAGAATAGTTAATATTATTCCTAAAATAGAAACCATGATTAGAAATGCATAAGTATGGGGCAAAATTGTCTGCAATTGTTTCTGATAGTGTCTATTCTGCTGCCAGGTAAAAATAATTTCTGTAATTTATTTGGTTTCAAAATTTTTACTCAAATTATTTCAATAGACATCGATTAAGATTACAATATCCAAGAATTGCATTTATTCCTTGTTTTGCGCATCAGTGTAATTTGGCCATGGGTGAAATATTCAAGGAGTCTGCTGAATTTAAACTTGCAATGAAACAGTTAATAAAAATAGTTAGCTACTTTAATAATGCACATAATTCATATTTTATCAGGAAACTTCGAGACATTCAAAAACAATTATATTCAAAATATATCACCTTAATTTGTCCAGGTGATACTCGTTGGAATTCATATTGTTACTATTTTAAAAGCCTAATAAAATCTCACCAGGCTTTAAGGGTTAGTATTTAAAACCACAAGTTAATATTTTGGGAATATTTGTATATTAAATCGAAATTTGCATTTGATTAAAAATTATAACACTATTAATATCTATCTTTATTCTAATATAAAGTTATATAAGATTTCATTCTAACCCTAATAAAACAATAATTAAATTTTAGTTCGATGCAAATTCAATTTAGTATACAACATATATAAAATGCAATATTCTGTATAAAAATACTCTATTTTTCTCTATTTAAAATAATTAATAAAATGAGTACTTAAATATTAAATTTTTAAGAACTTAGCTACTATGTTTGAATCTTCTTTGGAAACTTTAGTCTATGACTCCAACGATGAAGAATTAGATCAGCCTTCAAATAGGCTAGATGAACTTTATCTTTCTCAAAAACTTAACCGTAATTCTACTCAATGATAGCTTCTGGCAATCAATAACGTAATTATATTCTTTATTTCTTCCTTATTGTGGGGCTCTTAACAAATTGCAGTCAGATACTGCTCATCTTTATAAAGTGCTACAAGCCTTTGGTGGAATTTTTAAAATGTGGGAGGAGTATTCAGATCGTGATTTAGCTCAACGTATGATCTTGCAGTTAGAACAAAGATGGTGACAATGGGAACAACCATTATTATTATTGTTATTTCTTTTAAATCCAAACATTCATTCTACATGGTTTAATAACAATAATAAAAATCTGAACTTTACATATCTGGCCCAATTCATAACTTATTATTACAAAGCATAGTTCGGATGCTGACCTATATATATTTTACTTGAACTAGAAGAATATAGAAAATGTAAATATCCCTTTGATCTTGCAACATATGAACAATTTAAAGAAAATACATTGAAGTTTTGGGAATTTGCTGCTTCTTCGACTAGAAAATTAGGTCCATTGGCTGTATGCTTATTTGGAATTTGTATTAATGCAGCATCTGTAGAGCGACTATGGAGCTCAATGGGGTTTCTTCATACTAATCGTCATAACCATCTACCAGTAAGTTTTTCTTGTTCAATTTATATCTATATATATCTATTTTTTTTTAATATATTATATATAATACAAATATAGAATGAAAAAGTATTAGCTATGAGCCAAATTTGTGTTTCAATTAACTTTTCTCATCAAAAAAACAAAGTTATACATGTGATACCATATTTAACCAAACTAGCACATTGCCTATTAGCGAAACTACCAGTGAACTAAGTGAATTGAATTCAGATATAGACTATACAAATGTTAATGAAGAACAGGATATTGAATCATCAGATATAAGTATTGATGATTGAGAAAATCAATTATATAACTGGGAGCAAATGCTTATTGATAAGGAGACTGCCAGATTAGAAGAGAAAGAGAAAAAACGAGACAATCCTGATGACTATATGATAGATGATTTGTTAAGTAATTATAGACATCCAGCAGTAGACAATAGAGCAAAATGAAAATTAAGTAGTATATTTAATGTGCTATTTCGAAAACCAAATTATATGAATAATGAAAGTTAAATATATTTGTTTATTTTGAATCTTTTTTTCTTTTACAAAGATATTACCTCTATATTATACAATAACATTTCTGCTATTTTTTATAAATTGGTCTGGCTTTAACACTTCAAACATTCCTATATTAATATTCATAGTTGATGTAGAATCTTAAATTTGGTGTTTACCTACTTGAATTATAAATATATAAATATTTTTTTTTTTTTTTTTTTTTTTTTGTAAATTGCTTATACGCTGTAAATCTTTATTAGTTAATATGGAACATATTACAATTAGGTATTACAGTGAAGGA